AAATGTAATATAACAATACAAAAATTTTATGTTGCAATCTATGAATTAAAATATGCCTTAAATGTACATAACATGTACAAAGAAATATATGTCAATGTGTGTATATAATGTATCAGAAATACTGTGTTATATAAAGTAAACTTTATTATGGTGTTACAAATAATTGAAATAAGTTTGGCCTTTTGATAACTTTCCGCTCAACACACTCTTTTTATTTATGAATTTGTACACCATTTACATGTGAATATATATTCTCTATGAATATACTATGTGCATTAATATCTTTTAATAGTGTACAAACTCGTTTATGATAATGTCACATAATATGCATATTCTGCAAATATTCATAGCTACATTGGTTTCATGTAATCAATTTCAGTTAAATATGCGTGTTATGTTACATATTTTTATTATATATAGAGTGTCCAGTAATAATTGTATCACCTCGTGTGCAGGTAGAGCGGATTAAATCGAATAGGAAAATTGCTAGGCGCAATACATAATTGAACACCTGATTATTAATCCCAACGCTTCGTCATGTGCCTAGCAACTGCGTAATATTAGGATCAGCAAATTTTTTAAAATTAATTTCTTATTAATTATTGTAAAGATCGCAAAACAATAGAGGATTTTCCTACTCTATTTAATCCGCTTTATCTGCACAGGAGAGGTGATACGTTTATTATACCGGACACCCTATATATTAATTATAAATATATATGCTATATACTTTTGTCTAATATATATGTGTCTTTAAAAGATTGCATATCAATAAAACTATTATTCTACACAGAAAATAGAGCTGAAAAATCCTTTACAATTTTGGGATTTGATAAACAACCGAAATATTGAGTTGAATTTTAATTAATCTTGTCAATAATACGTAGATGAGATGGGCCAATGGTTGCTCTTCTAAGCGCACGATCTCATATCGGGCGCTTCATTGTATTATTGGCTAAATTAAATTTCAATTTACATTAATATCTCGGTTGTTGTTTCTCGAATCCCCAAACTAAGGAAAATTTTTTTTGTTAGTCTTTTTGTAGTAGAATACTTTTTAATTATTTATACTTAAATCTTTTTTTAGAGATACCCTGTATATATCATATGTTAATTATAAATATAGAGCAAATACTGCACATATCATGTGCAAGCACACACACATTAAATAAGTTTTATTTCCACTATACTTGCGGAATGACAGGATTGGGATTGAATGCGATTATTATGCTGATTATTATGCGATCGACAATTTAACTGAACTCTTCAGTATTTGATGTCAACAATTTTGCTGATAAAAATCCTAAATTTACTATTAAAATAATTACTTAATAGTTTTTGATTAATTCCTTTGTACACATAAATATCGTCTAAATTTCCACTTTACGCACAAATACTTTTTCTTTTTTTTAAGATATATATGTTTAAATTGAAAAAAAAAAAACAGAAAAATGTAAGATGAGAGAGATTTTAATATTTTCCAGCATAATATAAATATATATAGTACCCATACAGCATGGAACATTTTAATTGTGTTGTAACAATCGGATTTAATAACATCTTTAGTTTTAAAACCAGCCAATCACACGTATTCCACTGAAGAATGGAATGACTGTGATTGGCCAGTTTTAGAACTACAGATGTATTGAACCCGATTGGTGACGTGTAAACGTAGTCCTAAGCCCGTATCAGATATCACATTGAAGATTCAGATCGAAGATTGAAGATTGATATTTGACCAATCACGACAAAGAAATTTTAATTCCTTATGCTTTGATTAATAAAATTTCTTCAATTTTCAATTTTCAATGCGTAGCTGCGTAATCTGATACGGGCCCTTTAGGGGCTATCCAGACGGATTTGCATAATCGCAGCAAGTCGCAGTCACATAACATATGCATAAGGAAATTGATTGGTCCATTTCCTTGTGCATTTGCTTATGGTGAATGTTGGTTGGTTATATATAATATATATGCATCGGTTGCATGTTTCCTATATAACCTCTTTTCTGCAGGGTAAAGTACAAAATATACGTAAATCGTTATTATGTATGGATGGAAGTAATTATTTGTAGATCGGAGTGTGTGTAAAAACGCTTAAAGTGACGATATTACTCTAATATTAAGTTTGGAGCTCATGTTTTGTACTTACGACAACCTATCAATTCTGTTGGCATCGTGTCAATGTGACGGAGTTATTTTAATTCCGTATTTTGGACGACCCTGATGTATGCTATCGCATTACAAATTTGTTCTATTATTTCTACGACATAGATTAGAACTGTCAGGATAACAATAATTGATTACGAGGGTAAGAAATTTATCTCCATACATGATGAAATGATAATCAGTATTTCTATTATGATGATACTAATCATCACAGATGTAATTACTTATTAATATTTAATATTTTTATAATTTATTTATTTATCATGTGTGAATTTGGTTTTATGTTATAAATTGTATATATATTATTGTATTATATATTGCATATAATATATTTACAATAAAACAGATTTTAAAAATATTTTATAATAATATACTGACAGAATATAAATGTGTACAAAATAGATTAAACTATGTCATTATATCATTTTGTATATTTTGTTAATTGATATCATAAAGTTGATATAGTAAAGCAATTCAATTTTGTAAATAAATATTTTTTACTTTTGTATGTGCATAATTGTCCTATATAATTAATAAATAATTGTTTCTTAATTGTTTCTA